TATAGAATGTTTCATAATATAAAACGTACCTAATGCTGTGATCTGTTTTCGACTATACAGTATGTTAATTAAAGAAAACCAATTTTTAAAACTGGTGTTTAGTATTCATTAATAGGGTCTCAAAAAATATTTTCTTTTCTAGAGAAAATATTTATATTACAAATAACTAAAAATATAATTGAAATTCTCTAAACAAAGAACAATTTGTATCTGTATTGATGGAACTATACAGTACAAGCTTAGATTATATAGATAGAGTGTCTCCATTGAAATACTCGTACTTCAAGAAAAACAGGTCAACTTTTTCAAACAATTTTGTTTGATAAATAGTTATGTGTTAGCGATCTTTTCATAATTTCTATATTTATTTTGTCCTATAAATTCTGTATCTTTTTAATGTGTAAACACTCATTTTATTTATTTAATGGTATGTCAACATACATTTTAGGCGTAAATATACTGATAAAAAAACGAGTCAGCTAATTAGACAATTAGCTGACTCGTAATATAATTTCCAGCGCAAGTACAAAATAAAATACCAGATTAATTGAAAAAATCTGAAGTAGAAGTACACTAATTACAGCTACTTAATTTAATTTAACTTTAATAAATGTTGCAAATTTTTCAAAATATTGTAATAATTATTTATATAATATAAGAACGAAGTAGAAATTACATGGAATGAATACGTCGATCGGGACGCCAAAAGACATTTTCGCTCAACCCTAATCAAGGAGTAGGGCCAGTATTGATCTTATGAACTTAACGGATACACATACAGACATGCAATTAATCAATCGATCAATACGATCATATAATATATTATAAGATTCGTTTGAGACGTTTGATTATGGAATTAACTAATAGTTTTGTTTAAAAAAAAAATTACCAACTTCACTCCTGGCCAGACCAGTTATTTTAAATTAAAAACTAAACTACTGGATTTATTTTGATAAAATTTCTATGTGACCAAACCGAAAGTATTTTCCTTATCGCTTTATATGTAACTAAGTACTGAAGTAAATATAAAAAAAAAAACAACTGAATTGTGAACCTCCTTTTTTGTTTGAAGTCGGTTGGAAAAAAGAAAGACCACAAAACTTGAAGGGAGGTCGCGACGTTGCATTTCTCGTTGGAAGGGCAACATATATGGCAGCTGACGGTTCAAGGTCAATCCAATCAATGATTTATAAAAGTCATTAACAGCTTATTGTAAAATGCATTTAAAAAATATTGACATTGGTTCATTGTTAAGGAAAAAACAATGAAATAAAGCATAAAACGGTTGCGCTTTTAGTTGTTGAAATTCTAAAACTTAAATGATATCATTTAAGTACTCGTAAAATAAAAAGTAAGTAAATTTCAATCTAGGGTGCATTGTGTTATTAGAAACCACAACAGTATAGGAACAACCAATAACTGGAGAAACTTAGACCATCTAGACTCGATCCAAATCTGAAAACTTCGTCTCCTAAACTGCTCTATCGAACCTGGTATCTCATTTGTTTAAAGTAACGAACCCCCACATCGCCACGGAGGCCTTTAGAGAAATTATTTAAAAAAAGAACGGACGGATCGTTGGTGTGATAGAAATGATAATGATGATGAAAGATACATCAGTGTGTGCAATGAGAGAGTAATAAAGAAAGTACAGGACATTACCGAGAGTAGAATAGAACGACGCAATTTACAAAGACGAACTATGCGCTAGAAGTCAGCAAAATAATTAACTTTTAGATGTTTTCTGTGTCTTTGCCCGAGTGAATCAGAATATAAAATATTCTATGTATTAAGTTAGAATATAACCTAATGCGTGTGCCAAATTTCACTCAAATCGGTACAGCCATTTAAACGTAATTAATTAACAAACATACAAATTATCCTAAGATTTTTACAGACGTTCATATTTATAATATTATAAGAATTACATTTGATTTCTCTGCAAAGAAAAATGCAACATGGAACATATCCTAATAGAGTTTATATCTTTTTGCAATCAATAGAATTATATTATTGTTTTCAAAAAGAATTATATAAGAGTTAATAACGTGATGATATGGCCGTGTAGTCCCGGCATAGAGTAGGCCGCCTTTTCCGTGGGTGTCGTAAGAAGCGACTCAGGGAGGGCGAGAAATGGGTAGCAGCTTAAAATATCTCTAAAGCTTGACTGCGGTTGCCAATCCGCATGCCAAACGTGGCAACTACTGGCAGGATTCCTTTACGGGAAAGGCTTATAGTCAGCAGTGGACAGTTGGAAGCTGATATGATGATGATGATATTGTTTATTTATATGAGACTAAATTTTATTCGTAACTTTACCCGCGTAATCGGGGTATGTTGATATATTCTCCGTGCCAAATGCTATGTGTATGTATGCCATATTTCATACTTTTTTCACCATACGTTGAGCCTCAAGGCACTAAGAAGTAACAAACAAACCATCACTTACTTAAAATATTCAAATTTGTCACTTGAAGTTTTGTTTTATACTACTTAGAATGGCAAATAAGCTGATGGCCCACCTGATGGAAAGTGGTAACCGTCGCCTATAGACATGAGCAGTACCATGGACATAACAGAGTATACTGTTTCGCCCATGATACCCCCCACGCGTTGCCATTCCTGAGGACTCAGGTGTTATTCCTTTGTACCTAGTAAATTCACGCCATATCCCACCCTTCACACCGAAACACAGCCATGCAAACAAATCACAGTTGAAACACGAATGGGACAGAGGTACCCAAGCAATCGACTTTTGTACAAATTCTCTCTCTGGTTATTAAAGTCTTTACACATTTTGATTTTTTAGTTCAGTCTTAGATACTTCCTGGGACTGTCAATTGCAGCTGTCCTGCGAGAAGCTGAAGACCGGGCAAAATGGAATAACATCATAAGAGAGACAACAGGCAACCGCTTACCGTCAGGTGGGCCGTATGCTTGTTTTCCACCTCAGTGGTATTAAAAAAAGACACCTTTCAAGGAAACGACCTTCAGTAATGAAGTGGACGAAGAGAGATATTTCCATAGATTTAGTATAACGTATTTTATAATCTAAGAAGGATACTTCAATGTGATATCTAGACGATATTTTTATTGAATAAATATACTTCTTTTTTCAAATAGCATAGCATATAATAAAAAAACGTGTTGTCATTGTTTACGTAAGTTCGTACCGTCACGATATAAATTGACGAGTTGATTTAATTTACTTAGTTAATGAGCGGCATACAACTATACTTAGGGTTATTATGATTACATAAAATAGTTTGAAATAGTGACATCACGAGGTGCGATTTAATTAGAGTATTTTAGGGTTGCCTGATTAATTGCTAAGGAATGAAACTAATCACCTAACATAGGGGGGGAAAGGGATGGTTAGTAATGGAGTTTGACAGCTCCATTACTAGCAATATGCCCTATCAGGTCAACCTCCACTTGGTTCCCCCTGGAAACCATCGTGAACAATTCTCGTTGAATCGTCACGATGGGCTAACTGACCTGTTTCATCCTCATCTATCATCTTTCACTGGTGCCCCGCCGATGTATACCGATAGCGCGGGTGGGGTTACTATTTCATTATCACCTATAAAAAAAATCACCTAACATTTTATCGCCTGTTTATTTATTTAGCATAGTACCTTTTGTAGTATGACTTCTTATTATATAGTTATATAAAACAAAAGAGCATTATTTAAAGAGTGCAATAAAAATCATAATGCTTTACCAGTAAAATGGCTTATTTCCCAAAATAGACCGACAAATGGGAAATTTATCTATATGATCAAATTATAGTAAAATTACAATTTTTTTTTCTGAGATGGCGATGCACTCTTAATCTGGTTTAGGAAATACAATTTTGAATATGTTTATATCTCTGTGTGACATACAGGCGTAGTAAATAGAAATATGCTGGGGGGAAAGGGATTGTTAATAATGGAGACTAAAAATCCCATTGCTAGCAATAAACTCAACCAGGTCGACCTCCTCGTGATTCCCCCTGGAAACAATCATGGTTAATTCCTGATGAATTCGTCATGATGGGCTAACTGGCCTGTTTTCATTCTCATCGATCACCCTTCACTGGTGCTCCGCCAGCGTATCCCATTAGCGCAGGCGGGGTTACCATTTCATTTTCATCCACAAAAAAAAAATAGAAATATACTCATGGGATCGAGTTCAGTTTATTATTATATGTCTTGACATAAATGTATTAGTACCCAACTAGTTTTTGTCGACGGCTTCGTCCGCGTGACCGAGATATATTGATTAACAAAAATTAAAAAAACAGTATGTATATAAAATCTTTTTATATATACCAAATTTTTTTATGTTTACTTGAGTCGTCAAAACCTCAAAGAGGTTACAAAAAACTCACTTTTATATTTTATGGTGTTACTAAGGATTCTTTTTGTATAATATTTATTCCAATTATGCTTAATACATATTCAAAGAAATGGACTGTATGTGAAATTTATTGTTGACCTGTGATATTTATTCGAATAAACATTAAGGAAGTCTGTGTGCCCTCTGTATTCACCTTGTTTTGTTCATGTTAATGTCATTATACGGTATGTATATATACTGTCCTATAATGTACAATCTGTAATAGCCTGTACCACAGATAATAAAATAGTAGTGTACCTGCTAATGCCTCTAATGTCTCTCCCTATTTATCCATACTATTATAAATGTGTAAATGAGTTTGTTTGTTATTTTTTGACACTTTAACGGCTTGACCAATCGTCATAAAATTTGGTATACACATATCTATTCGGGATGTAAAAGGATATAGCCTACTTTATATACAAGTTAATATGTACTGGTCACGTGGGCATAATAACAGTTAAAGTTTAGTATTGTAATAAAAGCATTTTGTTTAAACTCTCTATAATACTGCTCATGTCTAAAAGTAACCGTTTACCGTTTACACAAGGTGAACCGTCATCTAAATTACATTAATACTTTAATTAGAACTTTTCACCACGTAAATGTATAAGTTTGTAAGATTGGATGAATGGATGTTTTTATTCTTTTACATGAAAATTACCGAATGAGTTTGAATAAAATTTGGTACACGGGTAAGTTATATCCTAACTTAGCACATACGAATAGAATACTTAATGTACTTATTGAATGACACGGGCGAAACTGTAGTATATAGCTATTATCAATAGAACATAAATAATCCTTACGTTTGATAGAATAAAGAGATTTTACTTGCCAAAAAGAAATAATGAGTATAAGAACGAACTATAGTTGCATTATTACCTTGCATTATTATTTAAAAGTTAAGAATGATGAAGACAATTATTTTTGGTATTTTGAGTAGGTATATAAGAGCTCGCGGGAGAAATTTCCTGCAGTTGACGATACGCGTGCAAGCCAGTTCCGAATTGTTCTGGCGTCATCTGCCAATTAATTCTGGCGAAGAGTGGCGAAAAAGTTTTTTATATTATATAATTTTTTTGTACCATTATTGTGGATTGGACACACAGATTAGGCACTTTGTGATCAGAGATATTGGATTATATAGTAATTTATTTGAGTTTGTGATACAGCTGCAATTTTTTCACATCCTGCTATAATAAACGAATAGGTGAGTAAATTCTTATTTTAATTCCACAATAGATTAAGGATAGTACGTTTGATACAACAAACGACTTGTAGGAAGTCATAGACAACAAAGCTAGCGCAGTAGATGCTTTTGTATGTACAATTGTGCTTGAACAGATCATGCGGTACCAAAAAAAATATTCGCGTTTTATACAGGCTCGTGTCACTCCATATAAAAACCATTTGTATGAAATCTATGAAACCAATTCCTTAAAATTTTATATTATAAAGGAATATTTAAATAATTTGATTTTTTATATTTATACATATAATAACTGATATTTTGTACAGGGAGATATTATACATAGTTATACAAATCTAGGAATATTATAATTAATTATATTGGCTTTACTCGCATTTTAAAATCCGAGGATGTCGAACTAATTTCAAACTTGAGTGCGGTTGGCCGTTGTGTCGTAGCGAGCAATATAAGCAACATCTCCGAATTTTAAAAAGTGAGTAAGGCTGATATAAATAGTTATAATACAGTATAACTTACGGTAGTTATTAATTAACTATGAACATTAATTTATTTTAATGTGTTATAATTTTAGATGGTTGTATAGATTTAGTTTCAAGTTTTGTCAATTCAAGCGCAGTACCCATTCTTAAGATGTAAGGCAGTGATTTCTTATTCTGTGAGTTTCGAGGTCTAGTGACTCACGTTTGCTGGACAATAGGCTAGACATGGATTCAGTATTCATCGAATTCCTATATTGATCGGCAGACAAAGGAAGTAGCCAAAAGCGGTGGGTCTAGAGTAAAGCCTGCAATAGGACTTATTTCCATGATGTTTCCGTAGTAACTTTGTGATGGTTAAAGTAGTTTTTTTTTGGGACAAAAATCATTAATCATCATAAATCATCATTATTTTACTTTCATCTTCACTTACGTAAACCGGACATGTTGATTCTGATAAAAGTACCTTATGTCCGTTTTTTATTCCTAATCCTGCGTAGATATACTATGTCTACGTATGACTATGATACGTCCATAGAAACAAACAAGTAAATAAAAAAAAAACAAAATCTAACCTACAAGTAAGTACATCTCACTAGAAAAGTAATTTAAAACACTGCCTACCTAAACAGTGTATAACAAACCTCCATCTAATTTATTAGATGTTGTTTAATAGGTGTAATAATTTTTATTTATTATTTTATGAGCCGGAATATATTATTATTCGTATAATAAAATTTGCTAAATTAAAATATTTAAATTTTAATAAGATAGACTTTTTTTTATTTAAATATGAAAAGAAAAAAAAATTCAAATAAACTTACATTTAAACATATTTAAATAATTTTTTTTATGATTCTACTGCCCACTCGGATTGCTATTACAGCTAAGAAGAATGTGTAAAAAACTCAACTATTGCTTTTTTACAAAAACATTATTTATAATTTATTGTACACAAAAAAATACATTTATATAATTTGTATTAAATAATCTTTATTTACAACAGGCAAACTTAACTCTGTCAGAATTCTTTTCAGCAAACCCCGAGTGGAATGAGGCATTAATTACCATTTAATTATCATTACTATTGAATTTAATAAAGTATAAATACAAATTACTAAGCAGTACCAGATCGTAAAGATCCTTTTATGTCACTTATTGTCATGTAATAAGATGTCTAAGCATGTACGCGTATTAGACACTTGTCTACCGTTAATTTAATTTTTTTATAGTAAGACCGTGAACGTCGTATTGCTGACCATGGGTCTTGTTTCTATAAGAGAAGAATATTGCTATTACCACACTGTGTAGGCAGTTTGATGTTGGGATTTATATCGTACTAGTCTTTGCCTGCTACTTCTTATAACACTATATATTGTATTATATAAATTGTAAAACTCTTGAAACATATATCGGATTTTAGTTCATCCTTTTGAAACAAAACTGTAAAAACTGCATCCAAATTGGTGTAGTAGTTTTTGCGTAATAAGAGAAGAAGGAATAGATAGACTGATAACTATAAAATAATTGTTTTATTTACATACATATTACATATGATCAATGGTCCAATATTACATATTAAATACATTACAATAATTCTATGTCAATTAAAATCCCCACTTTTATATTTTTTATTGTTTTTATTAAGAGTTCTCATGTCTATTTTTCTTAAATATATATTTCTTATGTATATAGTCTAATTACAACTTTTATTTTATTATAATGTATGTATATTTAATTTCTATAATATATATTTATTGTTATTTAATTTATATATATACTAGTGTAAAGAAGGCAAATTACCTTCTCTTACACTAGCCTATATAATTACTTGGTCACCTTTGATGATATAAAAGGAGCATGGCGGTGACTCATTGTATTTTTACTCCGTCGTCACACAGAGCGACCTAATTTTTAAAAAGGTACCGATCATGGTAATGTATAAGAGATACAAGATATTAGATAATATATATGTTTGTAAGTTATTGAATTTACTCGTAATCTAAGTTGAGCTTTGAATGCCCACGAATTTATATTGAAATAAAAAATACATAAATATCTACCACTTTTTTTACTTTAATTCCATACTAATTCAAACCTATCTTATACACACATTTACATTTAAATAAATAAATTAAAATATATTTTATTCAATTATATTTAATTACAAGCATTTTGATTAGAAAGAAAGACTAAAAGGAAAGAAAGAAAAATCTTTCTTCTATTTTTTTTTATTCAAGCATATTTAATTACAAGCATTTATTTTCAATGCCATTATCAATAGAGCAATAGCATTATCAATATAGTTATACATACATGTTATAAGTAGAAAACACCTAGACCTATACAAACAGTTTCTATTGCACAGGATTCCAACCTGCGGCCACGGGAAGGTAAAACGGTATATTAATCCGCTAGACCACCAAGGTTGTCATAAGTAATTGATATTACATAAGATTTTTTTTATTGTCTATTTATCATTACCGGAGAGTCCGAAGCTGAAATCGTCACGCGATTATGACGAATGACGACTGAGTCAACGATAGAATGGCCAATAACAGAGTCGCACTACTCGCTCCTCGCTGGTAATGAATGGAACCTTACCAGTTCAAGAGCGTCATGGAAATTGTAACGAGGAAATCATTACGTGAGTTTTGTCCTTATTCGTAACAGCCGACTGGTATGAAAACAGATAAATAACCATTTCCAATATTATCAAGAATTATTTCACCTTGAAATGTTCTAGATTGTAGTGTAGATTGCAAAACTGCTGTAAAACAGTAACCCCTTATTTATAAAAACGTCAAACCTGTCATAAACCTATTTTAGCTATTTGACTATTTTGTCTCTTTCTTTTACACAAAATTTCTAATTTGAAAGAAAGTGACAAAATAGTGTAATAGTTAAAATAGATTTGAAAAATGTTTTAGTCCTTATGAACAAGGGGGTAAGTTTGTAATTACAATATTTCTAAGTTCAAAGGGAGATACTCAATTTGATAGATTTTTTTTTGTAACAAAATTATTCTAAACTGTAATTGTTAATTATTTTTGCAATTGATAAGCTCTGAATTTATTCTAGGTTTATTGTAAGTGAATATACATTCAGATCAGTTGGACTATCGTAACGAATTCGTCAGGAGTTAGCTACCACGGTTTCCAGGGAGGAACGCGTGGAGTCCGTTCTGATTGTGAATATTGCTAGGTCATCAGTCTCCATTCCTAACAATCCTCTAAATAGAGTCTATTTGATTATAGCGAAATTTTTATTCTAAATTTCCACATAAAAGTAATTAACAAATGGCCAGTTAGCAAATCATGACAATTTCTCCAAGAAATAATTAACTACGATGGTTTCCAAGTGAGACCGCTTTAAGGTCGTCTTGACATATGTTATTGCTAGCAATGCGATCTCATTACTAAGAATCTCTCTCCCTTTCCTTTCACAAAAGTTCTAGAAAGGCTTAGTAAGTTTGTTTAAGCATTTCTGTACTTAATAAAATTGGGGCATTATGCGTGAACCTCTGATTAGTTCAGTCAACCTCGATTGTTCCAGAAGGCCAAAGGGCGGCTAGAACTACCACAGAACTCATGAAAGGATCTCGCTAATCTTAAAAAGTCCAACAAGAACTTTACTGTTGATATTGTTTACCAGAGGGAGACTTTGTACAAAAGTCGTTTGCTTGGGTACCTCTGTCCCATTCGTGTTTCAACCGTGAAGCAGTTGTGTTTGCATGGCTATGTTTCGGTTTGAAGGGTGGGATATGGCGTGAATTTACTGGGTACAGAGGAATAACACCTGAGTCCTCAGGAATGGCAACGCATGGGGGGTATCATTTGCGAAACAGTATACTCTGTTATGTCCATAGTACTGCTCATGTCTATAGGCGACGGTTACCACTTTCCATCAGGTGGGCCATCAGCTTGTTTGTCATTCTAAGTTGTATATGTAAAAAAAAATAAATAAAAAAAATGTGACATGGAAATTCAATAAATTATGCACATGACAATAACATAAAATTAGTATGGTGGCCATAGGACATTTTTATAATTTACGTCATATCTGAATTACAATGAATGGCGTAATTTTGAATGGACCATTAAAAGTGTCTTCTTACAATTGCACACACCTTATATTTTTTCGTTAGTGTAGATAGACAATACAAATAATTCAAATTTTGTAGTATTTAGTACGATTTGCTTCTTTATTTCCTTTTTTGTTTTTGTTCTAAGTAATTATTATTAAGGCAATATAATTGTCATTACTTTAAAATATACTAGTTAAATTATTTTCCAATTATTATTAAGCACATGTGTACAAAGAAAAGACATATCGAAACTTTTTCACCTACGCCAATACTACCGTGACGATAGAATCCTATCATGCCTTAGATTTACAAAAGTACGTTGCGACGTGCCGTTCTATTTCAAATTTTAATCATATAAATCAAATATCAAAAGCTATGAAATTTTATATCCGATAGTTTTATTTCTAAATTGACTCATGGGTCACCTAGCCCACAAC